TTGAGCTAGTCAGTGGAGAAGCTGACTGTTAGACTGCTTGGACCACATACCTGCTCCTGGTGTGGGCACTTTGCCAATAAGTCATAGCGCCTCCCAGAAAGAGCATGTGCTTGAGGTGAGCCTTGAGCATGGGTAGAATTGGGATAATCAGAGACAAAGGAGGGCAATGTATGGATGGAGGCAGCAGTATCAAGGAGAAATATCAAACTGGACGTGTGTCATTTCAGGAGCTGAATGAACTACATAAAAAGTATGTGAAGCCCTGGCCCTCATGTCTCAGTGGTTACAGCGTCAGCCCTCGCGGTCAAGGGCAGGTGCCTGGGTTGCAGATACCTGGGTTGCAGGTTTGAGCCCTGGCTCTGGGCGGGGCTAGTGCAGGAGTAAACCAATCTGTGTGTCTCTCTCATATCGATGTTTCTCTCTCTCCCTCTCCCTCCCTCCCTCAGCTCCCTTCCACTCTTTAAAAATCAGTGGAAAAAATATTCGTGGGTGAGGATAAACAAAAATAAAAATATGTGAAGTTTTGGGAAGGGATTGGAGGAGTTTTTAAAAATAGTGAAAAGTACACAGAAGAAACGAATTCATCCTTGTCTTCATCTTGCATATATACTCCCAGTTTTATTTTTTAAATTAAAAACCACTACAAAACTTATGCATTCTCATTATATGGAATTCAAACAATATAGAAAGTACAATAGATGCTATAAAGCTCTCCCAAATCTTACCATCTAAAAATTATTACTATTAATATTAGAAAAATATTATTATATACATTTTCCTTTGCATTTATAGAGAGAGGAGAACACAAAGGTAAAAATGATACCACAATAGAGTTTTTGTGTGTATTTCTCTTATTAGGAGGGATGTAAATGAAACCGACAACAAATGGGTCCGGGCTGCCTGTCACAGAAACAGGGTTGAATTATGTATGAGCATTTATTCCAATAATGCCAGCAGCCTGGGAGAGAAGCAGGTCATCCAGGAAAGTCTGCTCTGCCATAAACCAGCTGCTTATGTTGGGTAGAAGGACAACGATTACATGGGGAAGTAGGCAAAAGGAATAAAAACGGGTATAATGGTTAGATTACAGGCAATGTGGGCTTGGGGTGGTGAGGACTCCAGTGTTTGGGCAACAAGGTTGTTAATCTTACCAAGATAATGGACCTCATTCCAAGGTTGACTCGGGGTGGGTGTGTGGTTGTTTTTTTTTTTTTTTTTTTTTTGGGGGGGGGGGGTGGTGGGCAGAGGGAGAGGCACATGGTACAACTCCCAGCCAGGTTAGAATGTGCTTTCTTTAATCAGAACAAAACAATCACGGTTAACAGAGCATGATTAATATTTTTTTTATAACTAATAGCTAGTCCCCACTAGCCTATGTCTGCCCCTGACAAAGCCTCTGATTCAGGCATCCTGGGCATCCTCTACCAATGTCATTGGAGTTTTATGAAGATTAAATGAGAAAGTAGGTGTTTTTTCCAAAGTGCCTTTTGCTATAGCAATGGCGTACAACATAAGGAATTGCTAAGCTGTATGTACTGCATCCAGACTCTGTATCTTAGAGTCTAAATGCACTTTGGGAAAAGGACTTGAATGAATCACCCAGGGGAAGATTCGTTGTGCTGCTTACCACCTAACAACAGGGCCCTCTGCCCAACTCATTCACCATCACTTAGACGAGGTGTTAAGCAGGATAATTCTCTCTGGCAAACATAGCCCTTCTGGCATTCATGAGAGTGTTCAGGGAGCTCTGATGGAGACAGAAACTAGTTCCTAACAATAGGAAAAGATTATGGGGTAAACCCTTCGTTACACATTTATTTTTTTAATCTGAATTGTCCCTCCCCCTCCTTTGCTTTATCCTTATTGTTCTATGGGTATCCTGGCTTCTAATTCTTACAGGTATTAACTGAGCACATTACTCACCAACCATTCCTGTGATTATAGGTGGTGTACACCTCTCTTCCTGAGAGGAGATCCCTGATCAGGATAACTTGGTCAGTCATCCCAAAGCCATGGCTCTGATAGAAAAAACACACACAAGAGCCCAGGAGGCCAGGACAAAGGCCTTGGATTTCCTGACACTTGTCTCTGCCCAGGGAGTAGTGACTTGGGCTATTGTTCCCATGGTAAGAGCTCTGAGCATTCAGGTAATTGTTCAGACTTATAAGCAATATAATCCTTAACGGCCGTTTTATCTACTGGGCATAGGAGAACAAACACCAGGAAGACTCGTTGGACAGGAAATGCTAGGCACCAGGAATCAAACAAATCAGGAACTAAAACTGCCAAGAAGCACCCAATCATGCACCCAGTCCCACATCCACCTTCCTGTTGACCCAGCCCCACTGCCCAAGCCCACCAACCAAGCCCCCAAACGCCACTGACGACAAAAGCTTCCGGCCAGTGGCTGCATATAAGGAACAGACTCCAGCTCTTAGGGGCTGCCACCGTTCACCCAACACTCTTTGGCTCGGTGCTATGTAGCCCTTCCCTTTGGATATCCCCATCCCCTTTTCTTTAAATAAATTCCTTTTCTTTATTCACCGTCTAGGATTGCTATTTAGCCTGCCTGCGCACCACCGCCTTGAACCTTTCAGTCAGTATGATTTTTGCTCCCAGAGGGCTACAAATAACTGGAATCAGTGACACTGAGGATAAGAAAGAAAACCCAGAAACTTCACTCATGCAACAGGAGAAAGGGCAGGCGGGACCGTAATTCATATCCTGGAGCCACTGTGTAGTCAGTTCATCGGGAACCCAGCACAGGACCAGGTCTGAGGAGAGTGGAGGAGCCAACAGTGTTAGGGAAGACGAGCTTCCTTCCATCCCACCTGAGTCTGAGGCTGCTTGTTTGGTTATGCATCATGCTTTTTTAGTTCTCTATCCCACACTGGAGCTCCCTACATGCTCTAGCACAGATTGCCCTGTGACACATTGTGTGTGTGTGTGTGTGTGTGTGTGTGTGTGTGTGTCCAACCCCAGTGCACAGCAGCTTTGACCAGCTGTGCAGCCTGACAGTGCTCACCTCGAGCCTGCCTTGTGTTACCTCTTGGTTTCTTCCCAGGGGACAGAACCTGCTTGGGACTTATGCATGTGCAACTTGGACATGTGGGAGGCTGACATGTAGGGGGCTGCTTTTGATGAGTCGGGGTCGGAGGCTAATATATAAATGCTTCCCCCTCTTATCTATGTGCAGATAGTTTTGAGATAGATTTCAGAAGGCTCCTCAGATGTTCTGGATGGATGGAGCAGCGCCCTTGGTGCTGGCCAACCTCTTGCTCCTTCCCTGTTTCCTCTGCCTGTCCTTTACTCCTGCTTCCTGGAATCTTGTCCCCAAATAAACCATCTGACTGCACAGGAGCACTGGCCTCAGGCTCTGCTTTTATTATTATTTTTTTTAAATATATTTTCATTGATTTCAGAGAGGAAGGAAGAGGGAGTGATAGAAACATCAATGATGAGAATCATTGATTGGCTGCTTCCAGCATGCCCCACAGGGGGGATTGAGCCCGCAACCCAGGCATGTGATCTGACCAGGAATCAAACTGTGACCTCCTGGTTCTTAGGTTGACGCTCAACCACTGAGCCACGCTGGCCGGGCTCGGGCTCTGCTTTTAGGGGAAGCCAGGCTAAGACACCGGTGTAGGACAGCTGGCTCAGTGCACAGTCAGTAGAGGGAAGGTTTCTAGCACACAGGGATTAAGTCTCAGCTCTAGAGGCTCATCACAAACCACTGCGAGAATTAGGCCAAGGTGACACAGAAAAGTCAGGCAGTGGTGTGGCATGGCTCACCAAATTGTGGAAATAAAGGTTGTGGAGAGTTGCTATTACTTAAAAAAATTATTTTATTTATTAAAACATCTTCATTTTCCAAGGCACGTCAGTAGCTTTCCCCAAAATGTTGTTTTTTAACCAGGTGAAGCATATGCTGCAGGAATACCATAGTAACAATCAGAAAAGAGAGGACAATTACATGGAACACAAAATCTCTCCCAATGTCATATGACTGAAGTGAGCAGCTCTGAAAGACTGTGAACACGACTGAACTTTCTTCTTTGTAATTTCCCCCATGATTTGGCATCACAAAAGGAACCCCCACAATGACATCCGTACGACACTCAGGAGTGCTAGTGGGAAGGCCTTGCACAAGTGGCAACTGCAGACCTTTGCCAGAGTGATTCTGGGTTGAAAAAAAAAAGACACAAACCAAGAGGCTAAGGAACCAGTCTTTCCTAAGTCTTTTCTGAAGAGCAAATAACGTAATGAGAAAAAGACATAACAACACACAAACAAAACCCATATTATGGTTTTAAGAGAAGAGACAAGTTTGCTCATTTCTCTTTCTCACTGACACACCTCCTTCATACATGGACATCATAACAGGTAGGAGGTTTGACTCATATGGCATGAAAACAATAGTGGGTTCCAAGATGCGTCTATTATGGGCCTGGACCAGCCCGGTGCTTTGATCAGATGTAAACAAGTCTGTCCAGTAATCACACTGAGTGGCCCAAGAGCTCAGGTTCATGCCTTGCCTGTGTTCTTTACCTCTACATCCCCTCATGTTAATTACCTGTAATTTCCCCACACCCAGCTCTCCTGCCCTCAGGAAGCAATAATCCCAGTTAATAACCTTTGTAACTGAGAAAGTGTGAGAAATCCAACTCCCTGTAAAATGATTTCTTTTTGTTGTTATTGTTAATCCTCAACCGCCAAGATATTTTTTCCATTTATTTTTAGAGAGTGAAAGGGAGAGAAGGAGAGGGAGAAACATCGATGTGAGAGAGACACATGGACTGGTTGCCTCCCTCAAGTAACCCGACCAGGGCCGGGGATTGAATCTGCAACCCAGGTACGTGCCCTTGACCAGGAATGGAACCCAGGACCCTTCGGTACGTGGGCTGATGCTCTAACCACTGAATCACACCAGCCAGGGCTGAAATGATCTTTTTCCCTCTAAAGTGCACCATTAGAGGGAATCGAAGAAAATATTTAGAGGGTGGGATTTAGACCTCCAGTTTTATTAGGAGGCCTTTTCAGGAAGTCTGAAATTAAAATGTAAATTTAGCAGATGCCTCTTATATTCTTCCAAATCCCAATGGTTCTAGTTCACTTCTTAGGAAGTGCTCCGTCCATCATGTTAGGACTTCTCTGAAGTTGTCTGTCAGTAGCCACGGTGTCGCTGGAGGGAAGGTGGCGCCCTAGGACCGCACGCAGCCTCTGAGCCCAGGTGCCCATCCGCGAGCATGTCAGACAAAGGGTCAACGGAATGAACAGCAAAGACCCTGTCGCTGAAGGACTCAGCGTCTACACAGTTTCTGACAAGACCAGTCTTTCCTCTTCACTTTCTCACTCACTAGAGGTTGTTAGAAGGCTGTGCTTTTAAGGACTGTGGGGCTTTCTTCATCATCTTTTAACATCCTTGTGTGGCTTGGAGTTTGCCTGTATTTTATTCTATCAAAACAAGCAAAACAAGTGTTAGTAACAAATCTTAAAAAGATGTCCACCAGTCTCAAAACTAATAAACAAAACAAACCTAGAACTGAGGATATCTCGCTAAAGGGGAAAAAAGAAATCGTACAGCAGATTCTGCAAGGTTCTCCTAGTCTCTGTACTATCCCAGAGCTGCTGTTGCTGTGGAGATGGACATGGTGACATGGTGATCTTGTCAGGCCACAGAGGACGGAATGTAATCTCCTTGCCATTTCTAACCCTCTAAACCAGTCCATGGCGCTGGTGAGACCTTCCGGGGAACTCTCTGCCAGGCCCAGCCCAGTGTGCCGACGTGGTGAAGAAGGAGGCCTCCTTACCCTTTCACTCTTAGCATCTGGTCAATGGTGTCTGGGAGGGGGATGCCGAAGCTCTCTGGGAGGAACAAGGTGAGGATGGCTGTCAGGATGGTCAGACTTCCCATGAGAATGTAGGGCAGGAAGCGGTCGTAGGCACCTAGGGCAAAGCAGACAGAGCCCCAAGCCAGGGTGCAGTTAGACTTGGTCCCCTCTATCCCTTTGAGCTCTAAGGGGATCACCTGCCCCCTCAGCCGTAGTCTGAGCTGCCAGAATGGGGTCTGGCACCTAGACAGGTCTCAGAACCCAGAGTTGGCACTGGCATGCCCAGAGGTCCAGGAATGCCTCATGGTGCAGGGGAGGGGAGCCATGATGACTACGATTCCTATTTCTAAATGCTGGGTTTCCAAAAAATGCAAGATACTCGTCCAGGGACAGGTATAGCTCCTCCACCTTTCCAGGTGTGTTACAACCCATTCAAGTGCCAGAATGGGGTCTGGCACCTAGACAGGTCTCAGAACTCAGAGTTGGCACTGGCATGGCCAGAGGTCCAGGAATGCCTCACGGTGCAGGGGAGGAGAGCCATGATGACTACAATTCCTATTTCTAAATGCTGGGTTTCCAAAAAAATGCAAGATACTCGTCCAGGGACAGGAATAGCTCCTCTGCCTACAGGTCAAGCAAGATGTTTCTGCTTGTCAGATCTATGGAGCATGTTCACCTAGCATAATGGGTACTCTCAAGGTGGGCGCACTCCTCCCCAAAGATGTGCCAGCAGGGATGCTCAGGGGAAAGCAGCTGCCAAGAGAAAATGATTTTGAGGAAGAGACAAATGGTGCCCTGCTACAGAAAATGGCATGAGGCGCATCTTCATACAGAATTCAACCACCGTGTCACATGCTCCAACCCACACACATTCTCAGTTCATCAGCCCTCTTGAATGGACATCTTTCCCTCTCCTGTTCCTTTAAATTCTGATTCCAAGAAGAGATTCTCCAATTAAGAATACTGGCTCCCTAAGCCACTCTGTAGTTTCTTAGGATAGGGGGATTCTGTTTTCTGATGGGAAGCTAAAACAGGAACAAAACTCCCTACTTTTCTCAGCAATTTCAGGCTTAGCTACAAGCCAGTGCCTCTCCACAGCACACGCACCTGGACAGGAACCTTCTCCAGGCGCAGATCCAGGATTAGATGGGTCCCATTTGCTGTGTGTTTCCCCTTAGCAAGCCATCTTCAGCTCGCATTCCAGCTCACCAGTGCTTCCGCCCCATCGCTCCCGTGTGCCCTCGGCCCAGGGGACTTACCAAGGTAAATGAAGTAGGGAGACAGGATGCTGCCCAGGCGGGACGCCATGGAGCTGATTCCCACGCCCATATTTCTGACCACGGTGGGGTACAGCTCGGCTGTGTACACGTAGACCATGGAAAAGGCAGCAGTGACTCCAAACTTGCCCACCATCACCAGGACGGTGGACAAATAATACAAGTCTGGGGAGACAAAGGGAAGAAGGTAGGAGAAGGCACCAACCCAAGGTACACTGCTGTTGAGAGTTCCAGGTTTTGTTGTTTTGTTTGTTTGTTGTCTGAAACAAACATACTTTCTCCCTTTTCTGTGGGGCTGGCAGTTTCTATATCTTCCTATTGTGGGATGAGGGGCTACAGCCAAGAGATCCCTCCAAACTGTTACTACGGAGAGGAAGCTGGACCTGCAGCTGTGTGAGTGCCTGCCCTTCCCCTCGGTGTAAAGACGACGAGAACGAGCCCCTCAATATTCCGAACAAACTTGCTTTCCAGGCCAGAAGTCATCAAACACGCGCCTGTCGAGGGGTCAGCTGCGTCCAGAACCTCATGCTGCAGGCACTGTGGAAGTGTAACTACTGGCTTCTGGGTGAATGGGAAGCTCATGTCTAACTCATTTCATGCTTTCATTCTACTCAGATCTCAACAATTCTCAGACCCACACACCCTCAGAAAGGACCCTCCCATCTATCCTGCTCGCTGTGCCAATGAGGAGACGCTGTGAGTGGCCTGTGGGTCGCCCTGAGCTTGGGCGAACCTGTATATGAATTCCTGGGCTCCCCTGCCATGTCATAGTCGGGGCTGTCCCTGTGCAGTGCTGCCAGCCTCGGGGACCCACAAACGATCCCCAGAGGCCTCCAAATCGCTGGGTACTCTGACACTCTAGGTACCACAGGGAGTCCATGAACTGTTCTTTGAAAAGGGCTGTCTCCTCCATCTGCAGGATACCAAGACAGTTTTAAGAATCAGACCCTGCTAACGGCCTATGATCTGGTCCCTCCTTTTCCCCTCTCTGTCTTTTTTCCAGCTCTTCCTCTCTCCTCAAACATGCCAGGCTTGGTCCCTCCTCAGGGTCTATGCCTCTGCTGTTTCTTCAGCCTGCAATGCTCCATTCCTAGAATTTTTCATGGCTTTCTCCATCACTTCATCTATGTTTCTTTCAACTGTCTGTGACCACTCTGTATAAACTAGCTCTCCACAGTCCTTGCTTGTTATTATAAAGGTAACACAGTCTGCACTATATTAAGCCTTTATTTACTTGTTTGCCTGTTTTCTCAACTAGAGTGTGAGCTGCAGGAGGGCCTGGGCTCTGCCCAAGTTGTTTTCTCCTGCATCCCTGCCCCAGCACAGTGCCCCTATCTACTTGTTGAATAAATAAATGACTGAGGGCCAGGTTAAAGAGTAATGGGGATGGCTGTCTTTCCTCCCCCTTACTCTGCAGAGAAATGATGGGGCTGGCCAGCAGACCCTGAGTGACAGATGAATGGATTACTCCTGCACAACGTTTGCTGTGAAAGAAAGGCTAAGGGACGGCCCGGCTATAGCAACCAGGCAGCCTCAATTACCTGCCTCGTTAGCCTTTTATTAGAGTTTTTATCTTCAGATACAATCAATAGGGTGAGTAATCTTGGGAGGACACATGTGTTTGCATTGTCTTCTAGGCAAGGGCATTCAGGGGTTAAGCATAAGGATTCCAGTAAAACACCCAGGGATCTGCACATGCACAGACTTGTTTGGAAATGTCAAGGAATAATTAGGGGTGCCGCCTTCGACACTCCCCTAAGTCAGAATTCCGATAAACAGAGCAGGAGGCCTTCCACACACTTCCCTTTTCTTGGACTATCCTCCTTATAAGCCTTCCAACCAAGTCTCATGCTTCCCCACAGAGAAAAACAAATGTGCACACACTAACTTGAGTCTAGAGTAAAACTAACCACCAGCCCCACCTGGTTGCTCTGCCCACTCCACACAAGCCCAGGCCATGAGGAGTGTTGGGTCTCAGGAGACACTTTCTCTTGATTTTTTGGCCAAGAATGCAGATATGCAGGTGAGCGGTGGTGGCGTTATTTTAATCCCCTCATGAGTTGGGGGAGACAGCCTGGTAGAGGCTGAGTGACTCAGCGAAGACCCCAGAGGCAGACACACACGCTCCCTACCTGGGGGCACCAGCTGCACGAAGAGGAGGACACTGCCGCCCAGGAAGAGGGCGGTGGCCATGGAGTAGCGGCGGGGCAGGTGCCGCAGCAGCAGCCAGGCCAGCACGTACGCGGGGACTTCCACCACTGCCGACAGGAAGCAGTTCACATAGGCGTCGCCATGCAAGTTAGGGGTGTCCAGGGAGAGCCCGAAATAGCCCACTGCTATGGTCATCCTGCAACAGAGCACAGAAGAAAGCTGGAGGAGCAGCAGCCACCTGGGGCCTCCAACAGAGGACCTTCCAAGTGCAACTAATGCAGGAAATTCACAACGACCCTTAGGGGAGGGCAGCAGATTGAACCCAGTCTCTGGCCCAGTGCATTTTCAGAGGATCCCAAACAGCAAAAAGACATACAATTCAGACAGATTTACTTGGTTAAAAAAAGAAAGAAAGAAAGAAAGAAAAGACAAACCCATCTCCAACCTGCCTGTTGGCTGTAGAAACCCTAAGCTGAAGCTCTCACTAAGCCAACTTCCTGACTCTCTGAACCTCCTTAAACCCATCAGCTACAGAGGAGCTGGGGAGTGAGAGGAAGCAGACAGCAAGAGGGGTGGGAGAGGACTGGAAGGATAAGATCAAACACGGTAAAGCATTTGGAGAAAGAGCCAGAGCAGACCCCCTGTGGCAACCAGCCAGGAAGAGGCTGGTCAGAGGCAGTGAACATAACACCACCTACTCCGGGAGGAGAGGGAGCTGCTGACGGCCGGCCGGGCCAGGTGGGCTCTCATCTGCAGGCCGCACCCCCACCCGGTGTCCCTGTCCCCAGGACATTCTGTCAGACTGGACCTTTAAGGTTAGACTGGGCTCATCTGCAGGGGTGAAACCACAGCTGGTGCAACCAGGGAAAGGGGCAGGAGCAAGAGTTCCTGGGAAACCCAGAGCCGGAGGAGTGCCAGGTGAACAGTGGGGGCGACTGGCAAGTCTGTGGCACACACTGAATGCTGGCACTGTCTGAGGCCGATCCCGGGCGCGGCACTGCCCTGAGGGAGCCTGGGCTATTTCTTGGAAATGGGTGACTCATCATCTCTAGGGAGCAAAATGGCTGGCTGCCCAAAGACTGGCTGACTTGTAGTTTAGACTGAGGTGAAGTCTGCCTTCCTCACCCAGCAGGATCAGGTGGTGCCTCTAACCCTAAGTGTCTGTGGCTGAGCAAATGCTCTCCAGCAACTCGACTCCCTTCCTGACACACTTGGTGAAATGCCTCATCAGAAGGAACTGGTAAGGAGTCCTGCTTCCAGGACACTCTCCAAACATCCCAGAAGGAGGGATCCTGCTTCCACACACAGACTCCCAGAAGGTACTCAGCAGCCTCTGTGACTGCAAGAGCATGGTGTCTTCACTTAGCGCCTTCCTGAAGGCCTGCCCTGTCTTCCTTAGCCACTGCCTGGGGCACAAGGGACAGGAACAACTAAACTGGGACCCAGAGTGAGCAAGGATTCGCCCACCACCTGGAGGGATCCTCAAAGGTCCTATATTTCCCCCCAAACCCCCCACAACAGTTTCCATTTCCTTTTCTGAGATTCCATCAAGAATCATGCCCGAACCGGTTTTGCTCAGTGGATAGAGCGTCGACCCTCGGAATGAAGGGCCCCGGGTCCAATTCTGGTCAAGGGCACGTACCTTGGTTGCAGACTTGATCCCTGGCCTTGGCCCTGGTTGGGGCACGTGTCGGAGGCAACCATCGATGTGTCCCTCTCACATCGATGTTTCTCTCTCTGTCTCTCCCTCTCCCTTCCACTTTCTCTAAAAAAATCAATGGAGAAATATCCTTGGGTGAGGATTAACAAAAAAATAAAAAAAAATATCTTTAAAAAAAGAAATATGTAAAAAAAAAAAAAAGAATTGTGACATGCTCATTCTTTGATGGCAAGACACATCCCTTGTACTTTCTGATGACATGGCCTTTCAGTTTTGGTCTAAACCACATTTGCCAATGACAGAGGCATGACAGCCACTGCAGAGGTGTCGCGTGGAAGCCTCAAACAGTCTCACGCACCACAGAATTATGGACATGATGGTGACCATTCGGATGTTCCGGGTTCGGAGCAGATCCAGAATGCTGTGGGACTGCGGCTTCTGGGAACTGAGGTCTTGTAGCTGCAGGGACAAAATGACAAGAATATAGGAGGAAATATTATTACAGTGATGAAGTTCTGCCAGACACTCTATTAATCCCCAAAGACTTAAAATGAATAAAATATGATCCTTACTGCAGAAAAAAAAAAAGAATATAGGAGGGAGAGAAGGCTGGAGATTCAGAGATCCAACAGCATACCTGAAACCCCTGCATCTTCCTCTCCGAGTTGGGGAGGGTTTTGTTTCTTTCTTAAAAAGAAGAGTAGATATAGTGACTGCATCTTGGGCAGCACAAGGCTTCCCCTGGCCTTGTCAGTACCACATTAGTGTCAAGAATGAGGAGGGAAAATAAGTGGCCAGTCCCCGAGGGCCAAGGCAGACCCAAGCCCACAGTGGCGCCCTCACAGCACCACCCCAGTCAGTGGCCACATTCCAGGCAGGCCTCTAAGCATTCCTCCCCAAGGCTGGATCCCTGCCCTCTGGGTCAGAGAGAGAAACTGGCTGTGCAGTTTATTGATCTGCTATTTTAGAAGAATTAATGTTTTGAGTCTTCATACCATGTAGTCTCTGGTCTACTTCCAAAAACAAAAACATTTCAGATAGAAAAACAGGAAAATTGACCTCGGCTTCACCCAGAGTGACTTCCTATGAAATTCAGCATAGCCAAGGACATTCATAAACCACACGTCTAAACACACTGATGTTTCTTTCTTAAGCAAACCCAGCTTTGGAGCTTGTTTTCCCAGAGTTAGCAGTTCAACACAAGGTCAACTTTAGACTTAATGGATCCCCTGAATAGCCTCATTTCCTCAAGGATGCCAGTGGGACTATGGGTTCGCCCAAACTGACCCCTCACTGAAAAGCCATCAAAGCCGCTTCTCTAAAAAGCCCCCTCTGCCACCCACTCCTGCCCTGCCCTCTGTGCATCGGAGGGCTTTCCAACTGTGCTGGAGGGAGCGGCTGCTGGGCCA